ACTTCTCGTCACGTCTGCCTCTAGTCGTTCCAAATATCTTACCAATCTAGTACCAACAAATCAACTGCTCAATAACATCCCTGGCTCATAGACTGAACCATAAAATCACCGTACCCCTCACCTCAACTCATCAACCAACGCTCCAACACCGGGATCACCCCACGAACAAGGACCCACTCCCATATTCAACACCCCATGGATAGAAAACTCTCTGCACCGCTAAACTCGACTGAACTCCCCACTGATACCACTACCATACACCCGACTATACTCAATTAGGTATAGCGTGGCCCTCGACTATCTTAGTCCCAACTGACTATCTGCTCATGATAGATCACTGCCTCGCGGCACACATGTTACCTGATACTCTGGGGGAAATCATCATCAATGACGACCTGCAGGGTTTACCCCTAAACCCAAAACCAAAACATCATGCTTCTCATATTCTCACACTTACATAATTAGTACCTCCCCGATCATAGGAGGTGACATCTCCTTTATCGACTGATCACTCAACTCAGATCGAAATTCTCCCTTCCACTGACTCCTTACTAGAATACTCTGAGGGACTCTCGATCTCCCTCTCAAGGGACGCCTCTTCGAACTTACTCGTGACCGAATAACCGGAGAACCACAAACATCATTCACTACGAACCATGGTACTCCTTCCACGACATCTCTTCTCAATATGCCCCGATGTATGGTACCCTAACCATGACATCACTCCCCAATTCGCTCCGATGTATGGTACCCGGACCATAACATCACTCCTCAATCTGCTCTGATGTATGGTACCCGAACCATAACATCACTCCTCAATCTGCCCTGATGTATGGTACCCGAACCATAACATCACTCCTCGATCCGCCCTGATGTATGGTACCCGAACCATAACATCACTCCTCGATCCGCTCTGATGTATGGTACGCAAACCATGACATCGCTCCTCAATCTGCTCTGATGTATGGTACCCGAACCATAACATCACTCCTCAATCTGCCCTGATGTATGGTACCCGAACCATAACATCACTCCTTGATCCGCTCCGATGTATGGTACGCAAACCATAACATCGCTCCTCAATCTGCTCTGATGTATGGTACCCGAACCATAACATCACTCCTCAACCTGCCCTGATGTATGGTACCCGAACCATAACATCACTCCTCGATCCGCTCCGATGTATGGTACTCAAACCATAACATCACTCCTCAATCTGCTCTTTAGAACCTTCAGAATACTCCCTGTATCAAGTATGGGTCCTCTGCTTTCAGTAGTACGGGCCCATACTACCTGCCACATCTACCCATACTTTCCACACGGACCATCCCAGAGCTTCTAAATAGCTGCTCGACCTGCTCTTTCACCAATCCCATCACGCGTGCTCGCTCCCCAGCGAAATTCTCTATTCTACAAGCGCACTCATCTGGATAGGGTTATTCCCTAGGCTCTTCCGTCGTCCTCCCACTTCTTTGCTATCAGCTGCTGAAGAGCTCCTAATGATGCCAGCCATCTACCTCCTGAATATCGTCATATTCACTTGGTAGCTGACTCCCATCATCGAGAGTTCCACAAAGCACAAAGCAAGCAGCATTCGAGCATCGAAGGATACATAGGACTCCCTCTCTGTGATAACTCCACCTTCTCAGCTCATCCTCGAAAGTACCACCGAACTCTGTAACTCTACCCCTCATGGGTTCTAACTGGATACTCTCACTCATCACATACTTAAAACATAACACATATAACAATGAGTCCTAGGCTAAGGCATCACAAATCAGGCCACTCTAGTCCTAACATATGAAATACCTAGCCTGTCTCTAGCATGCAATAATATCTCATAAAGTGCATCATACATATCTCATAACACAAAAATAAGGGTATTTTGGGAAATCACCGTTCGGGCTCTGGCTGATTGTACACACTGCTCCTTCTTGCTTTCTCTTTGAACTCTTATTCACTTTTAGAAAATTATTTCTTTAAAAACTTTTCGTACTTCCTCAGTTTGAGTCCAGATTTACCCGAAGGCGCATCCGAATCCCTCAAACCAAGGCTCTGATACCAACTTGTAACACCGTAAATTTCAAGACAAATTTTTCATTTAAAATAATCATTTTACTCTTAGAAACACTTGTTTAAAATCTTATTCATAGTCGATTTACAAAACATAACTCCATTTTCACTTGCATAGAAAACCAAGATCCTCCAAAATATGACTCTTTCTCTGGTGTGTACAATCAAGCCGGTGCCGTCCCGTGATACTGAAAGAAACCTGTAAAACATCAAACAAAACACTGTAAGCACGAAGCTTAGTGAGTTCCCCAAAATACCACACATAACACATATTAGCCACTCGAGGCTATAACTCTGTGGGTCCGTGCACCCAAACTCTGTGAACCCTCAGGTTCTAACTCTGGGAACCTTCCGGTTCCAACTCTATAAACATGCACAACATAAATCACATAGAAATAATGCAGTACAACACATCACGTACATATAGCATACAAATACTCTAATCACATAACTCTGGTTACCTACTCAAGGTAAAGTATAGTGAGAAGACTCACCTGGCAAGCAGAAAGCAGATATCCCCACACTTGAATCTCGAACTCGCCACCGCCTAACACGTAAGGCAAATACTCTCATGAATATAACTCTCGAGGCTAGAATAAATCCTCTCATAACACCCTCTTATGGGTAAAAGACTATTTTACCTCTCTCTTGGCCCAAAGGCCACATCGCTGTCCAAACCCTAAAACTCAACGGCCAACCCTTGGTCGAAATCAAAGTCCTCAGTCTAGGTCAACCCTTGACTGACTCTACTCGCCGAGTCAACCCTGTGACTCGTCGAGTTCCCATAATCAGAACTTCCCCATATCGCGACTCAACTTGTCGAGTCACCACGAGACTCGCCGAGTCCCACAACTCTGAGTCCACTCACACCAACTCACCGATTCTCGACTCAACCAGGAAATATTTGGGACTCTTCGTCAAGACTCGTCGAGTCAAAGAACAGACTCGCCGAGTCTACGGCTATCTTCAACCTACTCGCCGAGTTGTTCATACAACTCGCCGAGTTCCAGGCCATCTTCATCCAACTCGTCGAGTCCACCCATGTGACTCGCCGAGTACCGTCGGTCTGAATACATTCCGAAGCATTCCAGGCCATGCAACTGCTCCAAGACATAGATCTAGCCTCCTACCACTCATCCATCACGTAAAGTGGCAAACTTTACGTGAATCCAAAGAGATCTAAGCCGTTTGCACATTGGGGCTAGGGTTTGGGACATGCAAGCTTCACTAAACACTCCAACACATGGACTTTCATGCTCTCTGATTCTTCTCCCTTCCAGATCTGAGGTAGCAACCTCAGATCTAACCTCTAGACTTCCCATTTCATCCATAGACAATTTCTCACAAACCCCAAAATGAAGAAACAACATAATCAACAGGTCAAAAACGAGATACTACCTCTAAGTGATGCCCCAACTGCAATGCAATTCGAATCCAAGCAAAGCCCCTTGCTCCAAGCCTTCAATCTTCCCAAAATTCCTTCAACCATTACTTCTCCAAGCTCCAATCCACTCAAAAATGGTGCTTCTCCGCGATTTAGGGTTTTCTGGGGCTCAAGGGGTGATAAAGAGGCTGGGAGGAAGACATAATGATCATTATATAAGGCTCAACCCCGAGAATTAGGGTTTTCTCCACTCAGCGCCTACTCGCTGAGTCCAATACACTGACTCGCCGAGTCGGCCACTTAACACGCGACCAAGTCGCGACTCTACTCGCCGAGTCCACACATGGACTCGCCGAGTCGCTCTTTCCCAATTTACTCTTTTAGCCCTTCAACTCTACTCTTGATATTTCGGGATGTTACACTGTTCATCAATGACATATAGTATTATGTTCGGTTTTTTAGGAGAAGTGACAGTTACTTTTTGACGCATGGCTACCTTTCCGCAGTAATGGTCCGATTTTCAAGGTGACACGTTGGATATCATTAAATGCATCCCGCTTCAAATTCAAATCATTCAGGGTTACTTATTAAAGGGAGTTCAAGATTACTCTCTACGTTTACGTGATGAAACTCAAACATTCCCAAATTATCTATTCTTCATCTTCTTCAAACCCTAACAATGGCAATTGTTGCTCACGTTGATCGTTCAACTGAAGATATTTCCTCTGCTCCAGTAATGAAGATTCATTCTACAAATTATAATGTCAATGGTGAAATTTCTCAATGTCCAGAAGAATTCAAGATGCTTATTGTTGCTCTAAAACACTCCATTTTATCCAAAGACATGTTCAACTCCTTTCCTGTTCTGATATCCTGGCTTTCTCAAGCAGGATCTACTACAACATATAACAAACACTCTGATTAGATTACTTTCCTCCTGATTAATGACAAAAAGGTTAGGTTTTCGAAGAAAGTATTTTGCCAGATTCTTGATATTCCGAATACCCCTCCTTTTGCTGAATTTCAAATTCATCAAATAATCCATATGTTTAATGAAATGGGACATCAGCCCCCATTGTAAAAAATAAGTGATTTTAAGAAGTTTGGACTTCCAAAACTATGGAATTTCTTGTTTGGGATCTTCCTACGTTGTTTAACCGGAAGAAGAGTTGGGTTAGACAAAGGACGGATGGAGGTTTACGCCATGGTGGCAGGATTATACTATGATCTTCCACTAGATTATTCTACATAGTTATGGAAGGAATTTCAAAAAGGAGTAGAACATACAAATGTTGTTCATGGCATTTCGTGTGCTTGGTACTGGAGCCTTATTTTGCAACATTTTTACAATAAGGAAGGCATCTTGGTTTCAAATGAATAATAGAAGGCTACTTTCCACGATTATCACTTTCCGAAGGAGGTTGTTGATGATGTCGATGAATTTCCACAAGTTGCTCGGATTCTAGACGCGATGCTTAACAGGGTGGATCCTAACAATCCTGTTTTGGTTGCCTATCTGAAAACAATCGATTCATCAATTCCAATGGGAATTTTGTTTTCACGGGAAGAAAAGAAATCGAAAAAGTTAAAGAAGGTTGTTCCTACTTCACCTGAAGCAAAGAAAAAGGGTTCAAAAACCTCTAAGTCTTCAAAGAAGCAAACTGAAAATGTTGAAGTGACAATTGATGAAACAAATGTGGTTGAGCCAATGGTGGACGAAACTCAAGAGAATATTATTATTCCTTCGAAAACTGGGATGTTTCAAAGAATCATGATGAAGTCTACTCACAAACGAAAGTCATCATCACAGAAGCTGGTTCGCAAACCTTAAATTACTCACCAAGGGGTTTTAATGCGTGATGTACCTACTCCTGTTTCTCCTGAGTCCAAGAAACGAGTAGCATAAGATATGGCAAAAATTTTATCACAACCAAAGAAGAAGAAATTGAAGAAGACTCGCAAGCTTGTTTTATCTACTGAGTCTACAGATGAAGATGAACGAATCCCAGAAACTCCATAGTGCACTCCTATTGTTACAAGTTTCATTCCTGAGATGAATGTTATCAAACCACCCTAAGTTTCGATTGCCAAATCAATTTTGGAGGAGGTTCGAACTTCAGGCATCCCTGCACACGTATCTGATACAGATACAAATGTCAACATGGGTGAAGGAGGTTCGAAAGCTGCAGATCAAGGTCCAATTATATTTACACCAACATCTACTATTCCTCTCACATCAACCACTATTTCACCAACCTTCGAACATACCCTAAATTAACCATTCACTTCCATTTTCCCTTCTCAATCCATTGATACACCCAAACCATCTTCACCAACTGACACTGATAATGAAGGGTTTGGAGGTATGTTTGAAAATTTGGAATTCAATGAAGATGAAGAACAATTTCCTGATCACATGTTGATGAAAATGAAGCAATCCAAGATTCTTAATCAAAAGTTAAACTCCATCATTCAATCCCAAGTTGATCTTGGAGGAAGTTCATCTATTTCCAGTTTGGAGGTTGATTCCATGCTGAAGATGTTCGAATAAAGAATAATCAACAAGGTTTCTGGAATGTTGAAAGCCTCAGACTCTGCTATTCTAGAGAAGGTTGATTACACAGATCCGAATTCTGAGCTTCGTGTTAAATCTCTCAGATCTGATTTTATAAGAGAAGTTAAAGATCTGAAAAGCACAAAAAAAAAGAACATCATGTTCTTTTTGTTCAGGAGGTGAAGAAAGTGAAGGAGGATGTTAACTCACAAATTCATGAACTTCGTGAAGATATGAAAAAGGACATTTTTTCTGTTCAGCATGATTATGTATCCTTGCATAAGAAGGTCGATATCATTTGGGATGTTGTAACTCGTTTTGTCAAGCTATTTGAAGATTTGAGTCCTAAAATAACTAAACTCTCCAAATCTGAAAGTGAAAATTTTGAAGGTGTGATGAAGTTGTTAAAGGAATTGAAGGAGATCTCAACGAAACCTGTTTCGTCTCCTTTGATTACTCAAGAATTTTTATCCCAGAAGTTTGTGCAGTTCAAAGCTATACTTAACAAGAAACTTGATCCACTCTTTCGCATATCCAGTCTTCTCCCCTCAACTACTGTCCCTCCTGTTTTCACAGGGGTGCAAGGGAGAGAAAGCAAGTCAATAGAAGAAGAAGCGAAAGTGGTGTGCAAGGTATTCTCTTCAAAAATCCCTTCAACAAAACCAATGATAGTGTCTGTTGAACCAGTGACCTCAACAATCATAACTACATTGCTAATTACAAGAACAATTTTGAAAGGAATTGTAATTGGTAAACCTTTGGAATCTGGGGGGAGTGGGGCAAAGAAAAAAGAGGTATCTACAGACAAAGGAAAATCAATTCTTATAGAAAAATCTAAAGAAGAAAAGAAGGTTGAGGCTGAAGCTGAGATTTAAAAGCTTAGAGGGGTTCAAAGTATAATGGCTCAGAGGGCTAGTGATCCGAAGGGGATGAATAAAGGTGATCCAACAAAACACTATAACTATGAAACAATTGAAGCCAAGGTTGCTTTCAACCACATGTATACATTCAAAAAGAAGCCTAAGAAAAGTTATGTGATCACAAATTATGATGCTTTCCAGTTGGATTTCCCTATAAAGAGATGATGTTTATCATGCCTCAATTCAAAGCTGAAGGGAATTTCAAAGAAAAAGATGAAGGGACTCATATGAAAATTCGTTTTCACGCGGTACTTGGCAAAGCTCCTGAGGATGTTTGGTCTCTGATCAAGATCAAGAAGGTGATACGTATGAAAAAGGATGTTGTTTTTGAAAACACAGTCCAAAACATCAAGTATGTTGCTTCTAGGGCGAATGGAAAAACATGCGAATTTACGATTGCAAACTTTCCTCTAATGAACTTGCATGACCTTATACAAGTTGCATTGCTTTTGAAAGACAAATATTTTTCTTTTCATCAAAACACAGATCCAGAGGAATTCAAACTTGGAGTTTCCCACCTCAAGATCTACATAGAGAATTATTACGAGTGTCTAGCTTTGACTGATGTGGAGTTGGAGACTGCCAAGGGAATGGAAATAAATGCTCCAATGGCTCCTTCAAAGACACATGATCAGTTAAAGAAATAAGCTGATGGAGAAATTTGTCTTAAGCCATTTAGGATAGTTTTTGTTGGAAAGGATAAAGCTGGAAAAGTGAAGAGGTTTTTATTCCACGCTAGCGAAGTGGAGAGATATTCTACATCTCAATATACGAACTTGATTGTTCGTATGAACCACTGCAAGAAGAAAAATGAAGGAGACAAGAAGGAGTTGAAGGAAATTATTTCTTATTATAGTGAGGTTTGAAGAGTTTTGCTATACTCCATTACACTTCTCACAAACTGAAGACTTCGACTTTGATTACAAAGGGGAAGATTGTAAGAGTCAAAATGTTGTAATGAGTCGAAATCTGTCTTTACTATCTTCGAACATTTTTGTAATGTATTTTACTAGGGCATGATATTCGAAGCATTATGTTTAGTCCTTAGTATATTTTTTGTACGCTTTCATCTCCTATAAATAGGAGTTGTTACTAGTATCTTAGTAACAAAGTCTTTACAGAACTTTCACTTATACTCTGTAAAACTGATAAAGCGTAATAGAGCCAAACAGATCGTACTTACATCGGTGTTCAAATCTTTCAATCTTACTTTGAATTTACATTCTAATTCAATCAACACTTGATTCTTTGTCTCATCAAAAACAACAACATTAAAAGCTTTTTGAGGAAATTAAACACTATGATTAAACCTGAATAGTTTTGTAGTTATATTGGGGATCAATATAGCATGATCAACTATATTTATGCAAAATATGATCAACATGTGTTTGGGGTTAGTTATAGCGGGAAATGAATCTAGAAGCCTACTTCATTTTTAAATAATTCTAGGAACTCAAACTTGAATGATTAAAATATACTATTGTGATAATCTAAATGTGATTTATTCGTACACTCTCGTGCAGTCAGTATGGTTGGTTTCCACCACCCCGGAGATCCTTATTTCCCCAATCAGGGAAATAACGGATGGCTAGAAGAACCAAAAGACGAACCTGAAGCTGAACCTAAAGAGGACTCTGGGGAAGAGGAAGAATAGGAAGAAGAAATCGAAGATGGACCTGCAGAACCCATGGCAGATGTTGGAGGAGAAGAGTCTAGTGACAACAACGATGATGATTCGGACGCGGAGTCCATAGTCATCAATCCACCATTCCCAATGAGGATGCCAGCTCAACGAATGGGCCCTACACCTCCCTCGGTATCGATATTTGGAGTGGAACAAGCAGCAGGGACAACGACCCCCGTTTGGTATGGCAAGAGAGTTCTATGACGTAAGGCATGGAGGACCAGCTGATCGAGCACTTTCAGTCATGGTGAGATTATTAAGGGATACTGGCGATCTGGCTCAGAGCGCTGCTGACCAGATGTACCAGATGCGAGCAAGAGTTGCAAGGGCAGAGCAAGAAATGTGGGAGGTTATCCGAGAATTCAACATGAGGCAGGATATGTGGGAGGCTCGACTTCGATACACAGAGCGACAGGTGGCTCGCCTTCAGGGAGCATCCACTTCCTCAACACCACCCCCTGGCACATCCCACCATGACTAGGACCAACCGTGTCTGTCGCTAGTATTATGTATCTTTTTATGTATGCTAATTTATGTACTATCGACCTTATGTTTAAGTGATTACACTACTCATAGGGTCGTCATGCTGCTGGATTATATGTTTCCCCATGTACTGTATGCCTTATGGCAAATTTTCATGTATTAAAACCGATTATTATGAATGGAAATGCTCTATGTTTATTCGTGACGTTATCTGCTATGTGTTATACTTTTTTATGTTGATACATGGAATCACGTAAATACATAAATTGATTCACTGAGTCAGTTGCATTCTAACCTAGGAACCCAATATATACTTATCATCTCTCTGTTCCATGACAAAAAGATGCCTCAAACACCAAACCATGGAAACAACGAGACACCAACGCCCCCAGAAATTAACTCAGTCGCTTTGCAAGCAGTAGTGTCCGCTGCAGTCACTACAACACTAACACAAATTCGCAATGGAAACAATGGGGAAGGCAATGTACAGGGAACTGGAAGCACAAATAAATGAACAAACCAAGGAACAGTAAGAACTTGCACCTACAAGGATTTCACCAATGCCAAGCCTCGAACCTTCATTGGGATGGGAGATGTAATAGCCCTGAAGCGATGGATTGAGAAGGTGGAATCAGTTTTTGCTATTTGCGGATGTCTAGATGAGTCTAAGGTCATGTTTGCGACATGTACCTTTGTGGACCAATCCCTATCCTGGTGGAATGGTCACATAAAGGCTATGGACGCTCCCGATGGCGAATGCGATACTATGGGAGGAACTTAAGGAGATGTTGTTAGCTGAGTACTGTCCCCGAGGGGAAATTTAGAAATTGGAACAAGAACTGTGGAACCTCACGGTTCAAAACTTAGACATTGATGCGTACATTACAAGGTTTAGTGAGCTATCTATTTTGTGTCCCGGAATGATCACATCGGAAGGGAAGAAGATCGAGAGATTTATTTGGGGATTGACCGCGCCAATCCAAGGAAATGTCATTGCAGCAAATCCGACCACATATGATAGCGCAAAGAGGCTAGCCAAGAAATTGTACGATCACGGCAACACAAAGGGCACCAAAACAGGAGAAGAAGAGGTTAAGAGAGATGGTTGGAACAAGAAGGGGAAAAACAATAAGCGGAAGGGAAATCAAAATTCTGAATCATCAAAGAAACAAAAAACTGTCACTATCCATGCTGTTACTCAAGCAGTCACCACACCACATGCTCCAGTCTCATCCACCCAAGTGCTCCTACACACTATTCCGGGAATCTCCCAAAGTGCAAAAAATGCAATCTCCATCACCATAGTGAATGCACAGAGATGCATTGCACTAGTTGCAACCGAAAAGGTCATACAACAAGATACTGTAGGACCTATCCTC